CTCAACCATGGAGTCCAGAGACCAGGACTTGAGCCCCAGCTCTGTTCTTCCTTGGTTGAGAAACTGGACAAACCACTTAATATCTTTGTGCCTCAGTTTCCTCAGCCCCGGAATAATACCTGTCCCTTGTAATTAAAGCAGAACAACAGACAGAATTTGGGTAAGCTATATTGTGCTTTCAAAGCTTGTACCTTTTGAATAATATGAAACAACTTTGTATGGTGACAGACAGTAGCTAGATTCACCATGGCGATCGCTTGATAATGTATATAAATGTTGAAGCACTACACTGTACACACCTGAAACTAATCTAATATTGCATATCAACTACACTTAGATCTTTAAAAAACCTTGCTCCTTTAGCTGTGTTGTTCCTTGACACAAATACAGTCGGAAAGGTTAAGAGGAGAAGAACCTTCTCCTTCCCTTGCCCTCCGCAGGAGCAGGGAACACCTGGTCTAACCAAAGTGATGTGGGCCCTCTGAGGACCCCTCCTCCTTTCTGCCCTCACAGCTGCCAGCCTCCATCAGGCCCTTGTGTCCTAACTGGGAGCCTCGTCTCGGGCTCTAGACTGTCCAAGTTCCCCTCCACTCTGGAGCTGTTTCTGTAGAACCCAAACGACACTGGGCCAGCCCTCTTCTCACATACTTGAAAGGACTCCCCGCTGCCTCCGGGCTACAACCCAAACCCCACTCAGCCTTGCAGCATTCCTGCCACGACTGCCAGCTTCTCCGCACAGCTCACGCCTCTCTTCACGAAGCGTTTCTCCCCACCACTCTCCGATAGCAAGGCTTTCTCATCTTTCTAGGCCATATTCAAAGGCTCGCTTTTCCAGCAGGCCCCTCCTTGCGCCCGGCCAGAAGCAGCCGCTTCTTTCTTTGTACTTCCAAGACCCACTGTTCTTTTTGTACAAATGCTTTCAGGCTTGTATGATATTTAGGTGTTATAAGTCGGTGTGTCCCAGCAAATCATGAGCTCTCCAAGGACAAAGACTGTGTCATTATTTTTCTCTTCTGCACACAGTAGGTGCTCGACAACTATTTGTGAAAGTGAATTGACTACCATCAGAAGATTTCAGTCCTAATAATTAAATCCTAAACAAGTAAATGAAATTGAAAACAATCTTCAACAATTAAGTCCTAAACAAAACAAAAATTCCTGTTTGCGGTCCTACTATTATAATGAAAGGACATCCTTTCCTTTAAGTGAATATGTGAAAATCCTTTCTCCAAGAGCTCCATTTCTTCACTGAGAATTGACCATCACGAATTCTATTTAGATGGCTTATGCTTTATTTGTTCATTCCTCAACGTTTTTTTAGGTGTGTGTTCTGAGACTGGTGTGGTCATAGATATCAGATAAAGGGAAATAATACACTGCAGAAAATAAAAAACTATCTAAAAAGACACTGTCCTCAAGAGCTTGATGCTTTAGAGGTAAATGAACACAAAAACAGTTATAAGATATTCTGGTAAGTGCAGGGAAGACAGGGAGCATTTATAATAATTCTGGTAATTGCTAGGATTGAGATCTGGTGATAGTCAATCAAGTGCAGACATGAGCAGGTGTCATGGGAGAATCAGAGAGGGGTGCTCATAATAAACTCTCTCTTCTTCTCCCTAAGACACACAAATACATGGCATGGCATTATAAAAAGATCAAGGGTGAGACAGGATCTCAGCTTACTGGCCTGCCATCTGGCCAGTTGTTTAAATTTTTAGTCTCCATTTTTTCTGCTAGAAGCTGTGAATGATAAGATCATATATATACATATGTATGTATGTATGTATATGTATATATTGCAGGAATTACTGTAAAGACCAAAATAATCTATGTAGAATATACTTTAAAACTTTACATAAACTGCCACCATAAATACGAGTATATATTTGTACACCAGAGCTATGAAACCAGTCCCTCTTGCCAACCTTCCAGTTCCTGCAAATGGTCTTGTTAGCCTCTAATTGACCCCAGATCTGAATCGCAAAATCACCCTTGATGCCTGTCTCCCTCACGCTTCACACGGACATTATCAAGTCCTGTCCTTCCGCCTTGCATCTGTCTTCCCTTCCCTTTCCAGCATATCACAGCTCCATGCAGTCCTTCTCATGGTGCTTCACGCTCGGCCTGTTCTGACAGAGCTGCCTGCCCCTGTATCTTTCAGTTCCATTCTTCCTAAAAGACTGTTTCATTATGTCATTCCTCTGCACAAACGAATTTAGCTTTCCCCTCATATCTGCAGACCAAAGCCTAAGCCTCATACCTAGAGTTTAAGGCTTTTGGCAGTCCGGCTCTGCCTTTCCCAGATCTGCACCATTAACTGGCCTGGGTTTCCCATCTCTGAACAAACATGCAAAAGCCTGAACACACATGACCCACTCCTGTGGCCTCCCCGGGTCTAAGGGTGGGAAGGAGTGAGCATACGAGTAGAGTGCAGTTAGTTCAGTGGGACAGTGCCATTTTCCCACTGGGAATGGCCGCCCCCCTCCTATCCATCCTTCAAGACCATGCTCCTAGCAGAGCTCCTCCGGGAGGCCTTGCCTCATTCTACTTCCTCCGGAACTCGGGAGACTCTCCTTGTACTACTGTAGATCCGTGCTTCTCCAGCTTGAGACACGGCCTCTGAGATGCTGACTTAGGAGCTCCAGGGAAGTCACGTTTCTAACAGGCTCCAAGGACCGGTGTCTGGGGACCTCACTTTGAGTGCCACTGCTATGGATGACCTTGTATAGCACTAATACATGCAGTTCCATGCTACGCTCTTTGTTGGCAGAAAATGTAACTTCTGTTTCTTTGTGGATCAGCCCCCCAAACCCCGCAATTAATTGCCTGGCCAGTAGCAAGTGCTCCCCAACATTCACTTTTACTTGATCAGAGTACTCCGCCAGCCACACTCTCCTTTGGTGTGTGCAGCAGCCCCACCAGGCAGGGAGAAAGGGCATACCTCTCGCAGACTGCTGGGGAGAGAATCAAAGTCACCACAGAGCGCAGGCTGGCTGGCGTTGGCTCGGGTTCACGGCTGCCGGGCGATCCAGAGTCTAATGGGGTCTGCTTGGCACTGGTTCCTTGGACCAGTGTTGAACTTTAACCTCTTTTTCCCCTTCTCTTAGGAAGGAGGAGAAGGAACTGACATTTATTAGGCACTTACTCTGCCAGTCTCTGGGCTGGTGGATCTATCTCGCAGGTCCAGGGAAATACAGTTCTACACGGAGGCCCAGAGCACCCAGTTCTACATGGAGGCCCAGAGCACCCAAGTCTTTATGCCTCGTAACCCAGAAGAGACAGGAGTGGTCAGATGAGTTAGAGGGAAGGGACTTCATGTTTCTGGGAGTCAGTTGTGTCCCGGAGCATTGTTCCAGGTGCTTTCACCTACAGTCTCACTCTATCTTCACAATGACCTTGCAAAGATCTCATTTCAGCCATTTACACCATTTCAAGGCAAGGCAATATTCCTAGAGAGGTTACTTAATGTGCCCAAGGCCACACCACTGAGAAAAGCTGTGAGGTATAGAGCTGGGATTCCTGGTGTGTCTGACCCCAGAGCCCTGGTCCGTTCCCCAAAGCACCTGTGCCCAGGTCACAGGGTCAGTGCACATCAGTAGCAGACACCAGAGGAGGGCCAGGTCTCCATGCCCCCTGCTCCCTGACCGTACCCGGCATCCTGTCGTCCCGAAATGCTAGAGGCCTGTCCTCACAGATGCCAGACTATTTCTGGGGAAGTTATGGTGCACAGGAAAGAGGACGGGTAAGTGAGAGAGCCCAGAGCCTTGGAGCGGCCGGGAGGCGGGAAGGACGCTTGGGTGGCATGGGCCAGCAAGGCTGCTTCTTTCGGGTTGCTGGGAGGTGGAGACCTGCGTTTCTCCCAGACCCAGTGTGAGAGCCGTCTGAGAAGTCAAGGGACGTGCGGCTCTTCCCCCTACACACAAGCACCCTCCCACCTTCACAGACCCTCCCATGGACAGGCCTCCCTGACACAGGTCCCACAGATCTGGGGAGGGGGAGACTCACAGAGATGTGCAGGCTCGGATTCAAGGTGACCCACGCCAGCCCGTACAGAACCGTCCTGCCACCCGCGCCTAGACTCTCCCACCGAGGAGGCGTGTGGGCACCGAGGGCAGCCACAGCACCCAGCCACAGAGGCACGGAGGGTGCGACCTCCACCAGCCCCCTTGGAGGTTCCTTGAGGGCTGTCAGGACCGATGGGGAGGGCTGGCAGTGTTCTCTCCTGCCATACCGCCTCCCCCAGCACCTATCAGGTCCGGTCGGGGAAGGAGTCTCATTCTTAGAGGGGCTCTGGCTGCTGTGCTGGGATTCGTCCTCTCGCTACTCAGGCCTCTCAGGCCGGTGCTGGGGACATGGGGTGGGGGAGGGGCCCGAGTGCCCAATGCAAGTGGGGAGGCACGTGTCTGTCCAGGGCTCCTGGGTAGGCACGGAGGCCAGGAGAAGCCTGGAAACCTCACCCTACTGCCCCTCTGGCAGCCCAGAGAGGGGAGAAAGGGGTTGATCTAACGCATGCCAGGACACTTCAGTCCTCAAGGTGCTGGGGTCATGGTTTCAGCCCCGGGTTCCGGGAACACCAGAAGTGGGAAGAGGGTCAGGTGACCAGAATTCAGAGGGGTGGGCTTGGGAGACTCAGCCTGGCCAGGGCTGACACCTGTCCACAGTGGCCCTTTGGCGCAGACCCTTCCCCAGCCCAGGCTCCCCTCACTGAAGTGTTTCTCTTGGCCCAAATCCTTCGTGAGGGGTACGTGTGTAAGCCTGGGAGTGAGGGGATGCAGCCAGGCAGGAGGCCTGGGAAGCCTGGTGGGGGTTGGAGGGGAGGCGGAGAGGGAAGCTTTGGGGCCGAGTCCTGCCATGTGACCCTAGAAGAAAGGTCTGGGACGGGGTCCCTCCTGCCCGCACTGGGCAGCCCATTTATCAGGGGCCAGCCCGCCGCATCCCCAGCCTGTTTCCCCTCTGCTCCCACAGGAAGGAGGGTAGGGCTGGCCTGGTGACCTTACCGTCTGTGGGGGGCTGCCCACGGTCATCTCCACGTAGTAGCCCTGCCCAGACTTTCCCCTCAGGTTGTCCACCATCTGCACAAAGCTGCCCCTCCGGCTGGGCTCCTCTGGCTCCTCGTCGGTCTCCCTGGGCAGCCGCAGCCCCAGGGGGGCCCCCCCAAGCCCGCTTCGCAGGGGCAGTCGGATGCCAGGCTGGGTGCAGTGGGCGGGTAACACCCCTGAGCCCATCCACAGCAGGAGCCAGGGCAGTGCTTGGGCCATAGTGGACCCTGGCCTTCGGGCCCTCTAGGCTTACTCTGGTCCACGTCCGTCCCTGTTGCCTGCCCCCAGCTCCGGGTGCTGGTGGTGGCTTCTCAGGAGAGCGAGCTGTGAGGCATCAGGGCTCCAGGGCCTGCAGGTGCCCCAGCCAGCCCCGGGTCCAGGCTGGGGTATCCAGCAGGAGAAATCCGCAGAGAGACAGGAGGGGAGGAGACGGATCTGAAGCTTGGCTACATCGGGCCGACGGCTCCAGCCTCAGCAGAGGTCTGGACAAGGCGGGCTCGGGGCTCCCGGGGGGCTGGGCGGGGCGGGCATGGCAGGTCTCAGCCGGTCTCCTGGTCTTGGTGGCCGGCAGCGCAGGAAGGGGCAGGAGCTTCAGGCTCTTGTGGCTGCGTTTGCTGCTCAGGCCACCATAACCCAGCTCCCGGCTCCCAGCTCCCAGGATGGCTGGGGAGGCGGAAAGACTTGTGGCGGCGACTGTCAAAGCCAAAGGGTTTTCTCTTTTCCCTGGGATCGCTGGGAAGTGTAGTCCTCTCACGCCAGGCAGCCCAGCTTCCGGGCTTTGCGAGGGTCTGGGATGCCCTCTGCCGAGGTGGAGTCCGCCCTGCAGGACCCTGGCGGGAAAGGGCTCCTCTGCCTAAGCAGGGCGGGAAGGGCCTTCAGGATAGGGTGGTGGCTGGCCTCTCATTCTGTCAGTCCTTCATTCTGCATTTTTTCTGCATTTATTAGCACCCACTATATGCCAGGCATTCTGCTAGACACTGGGGCTACATAAAGAAATGAAATACCCATGCACTATACCAAATAATTTGGCATTAAGGAGGTGGGGTTTGGGGAAATTCTGAAGGATCTGGAAAGACTCAATGGGAGAGGTGGTATTTAATTTGACCCTTAACCAGTGAGTGGAATTCATAAGCAGAAGTAGGGAGATCAAGAGAAAAGGAGATAGAAGGGTATTCTGGGTACCCAACTGCGTAAGCAGGGTCCCAAAGGAGAAAGTGTAAAGTGCTCTGTCCTCACTGGAGGCTGCAGTCTGTGGGCAGCTGAGAGCCCCCCAGGTCTTCTCTCATCGGAATCTTTTTATGGCCTTGGTGCTCTGTCTGCCCTCACGTCCACCCGATGTGAATCCTCAAGATCCTCCTGATTTCTGCACCACTAGTCAGACTGAGGGTAAATGGCTTTTGTCAGCTTTAAAGTGTTACCACTCCAAGAAGTATCTGTATATTGGTTGGTAAGAGCTTGAAATGAAAAGCTTTAAAACTCTAAAACCTTAAAAGAGAAAAGCCATCTAATTATATCAACATATTATTTATTGGATGTGCAAAAGTGTTGTTAAAATTCAGTTGTTTTGATAAAAACTAAGGGAAAACTTCTCAAGCAAGGTAACAAAAAAATCATAAAAAACATTAGAGTTACAGACTTAAGTTATTCCCGTTAAAGTCAGGCTTAGGAAAAGGAAGGTCATTATCACTACTATTATCCCATGTAGTTTAGGTCAGTCTCGCTAACTCAATTAAGATGAGGCAGTGGAACAGGTGCTCCAAACATTAAGAAGCCAAGGAAGCATTATTTACACATGACATGGACAGACGAGCCTAACCAATAAGGTGATTAGACACAAGCTTAAAAATAAAAATCAATAGGTCAATGTATGTATTATGGGAATTTTGTATATGATAAAGATGCCCTTCCTATCAAAGGGAAATAGATATTATTATTCAATAATTGTTGTTGAGACAATTGGCTATCCTTTGGAAGGAAAGAAAATTAAACCCTTATCTCACCTAAAAACAAACTCCAGACAGATCAAAGAGCTTAACATGAGAAACAAAACTACAGAAAAAAAAAAGGAGAGTATTTTAATAACCTTAAATTGAAGAAGGTCTCTCTAACAAAACTCAGAAGATATTTAAAAAATAGGCTTGGCTACTTAAAAAATTTCTATAGAATCAGACTTCCAGTGTTCCAATTCTGGTTCCACCACTTAGAAAATGGGAGATTCCGGGCTAGTTGTTTATCCTTTCTGCATCTCCATTTTCTCATTTGTAAAGTGGGGATAACAATAGCCCGTCCCATGTAACGTAAGGATTAAATGAGATAAATCCATGCAAAGCACTTAGAATGGTGTCTGGCACATTGTAAATGCTCAGTAAAGGTTAGCTATTCGTGTTATTACTGCTACAACTACTGAGAAAAGTGAGATTTTCAAAGTTGAAAGATAAGACACAGACAAGGAGACATTGTCACACTACAGAGACAAAGGATTGATGTCTATAATGTCCAAAGAGCTTCTACAAGTCAGTAAAACCCCTAAATAACCTGGGAGAGACACGAACAAAGAACACGAATAGGTAATTAACTGAAGAAATTTAAGTGGCCAATAAACATGTGAAAAAAATCCAACTTCATTAACAGTGAAAGAATCCAATAAAACAGCATTTAGATACCATCATCATTTTTTTTTTTTTTTGCCTCTCACGTTGGTAATATTTGGTGTTGGACTGTATATGATTCCATTTTTAGAGAGAAATTTGGCAATGTCTACTAAAATGTAAAAAATGTAAACTCTTTGAGCAATGTTTGTGTACACCAACACTTGGGGTACAAAATAAATGATCATCAATTGGGGAAGGAGACATTCAATCCGTGGAATCCCACATAACCACTCTGAAGAATGTGATGACTTCTCATGAACTCACCTTGGAAGGTGTTTATGAGC